ACTATTTTGAATTCTGGAACACAGTCAGAATTGTTCCAGAATTCTGACTTTCTTTGATTTTTTTTTTCAAAATTCTGACTTTTTTCCCCCAGAATTCTGACTTTTTCCTCAGAAATCTTTATTTTTTTCAATTCAGATTTTTAAGTCAGTATTCCGAGAAAAAAAAAATCAAAAGTTTGAGAAAAATTTAGATTTGGTGGCCCTAATTCTCTTCCGCAGTTTACTGACGAGACTTAATTTATTAAGTCAAAGCAACGTGTCTGTGTGTCCTGCAGGTGGCGCCCTGAGATCAATCATCTCATGGATCAGCTTTCAAAAAAAGAAAGGAGAGCTTCAGCTAAACCCACCCACTGTCAGGATTTCATCCTCTCCAAAAATAAACTGCCAACCACACCCAAAAGGGAGCCGAGTCCTCCGCCAGACAAGTTCACACCAGTCAGGATCACATTTATTCTAACAATATTCAAAAATATCCTCCAGCAGCTCAGTTTAATTCTGCTATGGTTTGCATTATGATACCAGATATGAAAAAATGTCTAAATGTCTTAAATGTTGAAATAGACAGAATAAACGTCCAAGTAGGCAACAAATTATGAACTGCAATAATTTCATAAACATGTGTAAAATAAACAATGCATCGAATTTTAATGTAAAAGCATTATAAAATGTTGCCAACCCATTAAAGCCCACCATAATGTTTTTAAAAACCAACATTCAACAACTTTTCAACAACTGTTACATTCTTAGTTTATTGTTGAATAGGTGAAAATATTTAGATTTTATTAGCCCTTTGTACTTGACACTTTTGGTCCATGAGAAAAAAAGTTTGGACACCCCTGATTTAGAGAGCATATGTTTAAATTATTGTACATTTTAGAGAAATATCTCCTGGTGCACTAAAAGTTCTGCTTTGCTTCTGTAGGTACCAAGAAGTACTTACACGTCTCCAAGAGAACTGCAGAAAATACAGGAGTGTAAAGAGAAGAACAAAGAAAAGGCTGAGGTGCAATGTCACTTTGAGATCTGATGACAAAATAAATTAAAATTTAAAAAGTATTTTATTGATCCTAAACGGAAATGAAATGCTGTTGTAACTCACATTCATTCAAATTCTTCAAAATTATTGTAGACAGTATGCAGATGAAAGTGAAATGTTTTTTTCTTTTTACATTTTGTTATGATTATTGCTTATTTAGTCTGAGATGCATTTCACAGAGTAGCTGCATCACGACCCAGAGAGAAACAGTCCAACTAGTAAACATCTGCAGCAGAAGTAGAGATTATTTTACAGTCCAACACGCTCTCACTTCCACATCTGCATCCTTCCAACCTCAGAAACTTCTGCATGCGGTCCACTTCAGATGTTGGGATCTGGAGAAATCTGAACAAACGGAGGTAGAGTCCCCTTATTTTACTTCATTTTTTATTAATTTATTTGCTCTTTTACTTATTTATTTAATTATTTATTTATATTGTTTTCTTTTCTGAACAAAGAAATGACTAATGACAGAAAATATTTTCAAAAACTGGTTACAACTCGTTCTGAGTTGTACACCAGAGTAAAATCCAGATTAATTTTTAATTTTTGATAGTCATAATATTAGCACATAAAGAATGGCTAAAAATCAAGAGAAAAAAGTAGTTTTATGAGAAAAAGCTTATAGAATTATCAAGATCTGACATGACCTGCTCAATAATTTCAAACTCATGCTAATTTGATGCCGGTGTGCTAAAAGATTAATTATTTTGTTATCTGTAAAACTTATAGCAAAGTTCACTGAAATGCTCAACATTCCTCATTTTATTCTTTCACTTTTTATGCTGGAGTTCTCAAAATATTACTTCTTCATTCTCCTTTATTATGACTTTGTTCTTGTCAAAAGAAAAGTAGCCGCAATATTCAAAGTCCAGAATATGCTTGCGAAACAAAATGGCTGCCCCAGGCGTGCAGACATCACTCTGAACTATGAAAACTGTGGAAAAAAACCTAGATTTTCCACAAATTAAATCTTCAAAATCTGATTAAATGATTAAATCGATAACATTGTACATTGTTAGGGGGGAACAGAATAATTAATGTCTACTTTGTTTTGTTTTGCAGAGTGTGATTTCCCAGAATAAGGCAAAAGGCGACGCCAAAATGAAGTCTGAGTCTTTTCATCCAAAAGAAATTCCTCACACTAATATGGTAGTAATCACCTGTTACACCTGCTGCACTCCATCATCGGTGTGTAAGCCGTCCACAAGGATATTTATCTGATTATTCCAGGTGGAGAGCCACTCAGTCAGGCTTAATAATGCAGCTATTTGGAGAAGAGAGGCTTTGCATGACCGTATGGTGAAGGAGGAGCTACACAGGTAATGAAAAACATCCAAAAATACATTACTGACACAGATAGATTCAATTAGCTGGGATTACAATTTTTCTCAGTTGCTTTGCACGCCTTTGTCTAATCATTTTTGACATTTGCAAAACATTAAGTTAATTTCTCAAAACAAAACACCATGGATTACTTTCCTCAAAATCCTTTGTCCATCTCTCAAAGCTAAATATCTGTGTCAATGAACAAGTAAGTCCTTGTTTCATCGTGTAAAATATTCATCAATAAGCAACTAAAAATGTAGGAAGCATTTCCAACTTGTTCACAAATGTGAGAAAAAATGTTTTGAAACAAAATGATTTGAAGGTTGAACAAGTAGCTTTATGAATTTCACATTTGTTCTGAGAAATTCACCCGAAAAACTGAAAATATCTCTACCTAGTTATAAATAAATTTTGGGCCTGAGTAAAATAGGGCTGAAACAATTAATCATATTAATTGTGATTAATTGGATTAATCAATTGTTGAAATAATTGTCAACTAATTTAATAATCTATTAATTGTTAAGTGGATACAGATTTGCTGAAAGAACAACATTGTCAAAGAAGTAATCAACTCAAAGCTTTAAAATATAAACATTTTGCATTTTTAAGAAAAACTTTGTAAATATTAGTGTTTATCCAGAACTCCTCAAGCTGCAGTTTTAGCGTCACCTGGTTCAACCTCTATTAAAGTGTCTTTTATTGAGCATCTTTTGCTATCCAATTATTAATCAATAATCAAAATAAAACAAACAAAAAAACAAATCAGCCCTGACTGTACTGAAGCAGAAAGCACAGAGCTTTTCACATGTTGAAGTTTTGAGGCTACAAACAATTAAGCGTTCACTAAAGGAATGTTGTGTTTTCTTTCAATTTTAGATGATAAAATGTTTATTTTCTTATTTAAAAATGAAATAAATTACTGTTGATTTGCATCTTTTAATGTATTTCATTGTATAAAAAATCAGATTAATCAATTAATTGTCAGAATAATAGATTAATCAATAATTAAAATAGTCGTTAGTTGCAGAACTAATGTAAAACAAAACATAGAGCATGAGGCAACTTGTGAACTAACTTTACATAAGTTTTTACCCAGTAGCTGTTTGTTTTAGCTGGTTTGGTTTGATTAATCAGCCTTCCTGCCTCTTCATTATCAGATATGAACGATGTTGCTTCGCTGAACTGATTTGAAGGAAACAACTGTTTTAACAGAATAGATAAACTGGTGCAGGGAGCGATAGACCCGTCGCCTTTCCTGCAGCGGCAAAAGGAGCTGGAGGAGCGGGAGCGCCAGGAGAAGCGGCAGGCAGAAGAACGGACCCGTCTGGAGACTCAGATCATTGAAAAGGAGATAACTCTGATTCGCAAACGGATTGCTGAGCAAAAACATGAAGCTGCTCTGCGCAAGAAAGAAGAGGTGCGTAATTATCACTTCATGAAGTTGAGAAAATGTCTGTACCAATGATTATTTTAGTAATTGAATATTCTGTCCATTATTTTGATGATTAATCAGTTAATTACATAGAAAATTGGCACTATATACAGATTTTTTCATTGAATTACTTAAACCTTTTTTATGCGATTTTAGAAAAACATTAAAAGATTAATTTTTAAATTAAAAAAACCCAAATATTTTAATGTAAAATACAATCACCTGGTCCAAATTTAATGAATTTGAAGTTAAACTACATCACTTAAGGAGTTCTGAGGAGGATGTATGTCAAGACAAAAGATTTTTTATCTTAAATTCAATATGTATTTTGTACCATTTTGACTTAATTACTCCTCTGATTGTGTGTCTTTCAGAATATTGCTTTATTTTTGAGACTGTATACCTCAGTTAATGATTAATCGATTACTAAATTAGTTGGCAATTATTTCAATACTGATTAATCGCGGTTGATCTGATTAATCGTTTTAGCCCTAGTTTTTACAGCAGATTACACAGCACTTTAAAGCATGAAGACACGCTGGCATTCAGTTGTTTATAACTCTTTGCCACAGATGGTTTTGAAAATAAGTTTTAAAATATCTTCTTGCCCCACAGACTGCTCGCCTCATGCAAAGATATGCAGAAAAACGGGTGAAGGAAGAAAAGGAAGTAAGAGACTTGGTGCAACAAGTGATGGAGCACAGGATTAACTTAAAAGTAGCTCAAGAAAGGAGCAAGAAAATAAAGCAGAAAATCGGTAGGCCTTGTCCTTTGATGACATAAAGAGAGCAATTTTACGATTCGTCACTAATTATGGTGATTTTAACACACATTTCACAGTGAAAGAAGTATCAGAGGAAAACCAGGAGCTGCTTCGCCAAGCCCTCGAGGAAAAAGAGGAGGAGCTCAGAAAAAGGTTTCAAATCATCCACGAAATTCACGTCATTGAGTCGCTGCCTATCGTCAAATCAAACAAGTTCGACGAGACGGAGGTAAGTGGATTTCACAGCCGGCGTCAGGGATCCCCGCAGGACCTCTGAGCCGTCTGTCTGGGGCAGACCGCAGGCCATGAGCTGCTGGGTGAGATGTCACTGGCCGAGCTGAAGGAGAGGCTGGCGCTGCTGAGGCAGAACCAGCAGAAAGAGGAGGAGGAGCGACGCAGCAACATCCTGGAGGAGAAGCAGAAGAAGAAGCAGCAGATCCTGGAGACGCTGGACAACATCAACCTCTACAGGAAGCTGCTGACGAAGGAAGCAGCCGACAGGTTAGCTGACACGATTCATCAAATTAATCGTGATTAATCGACTATGAGAATCATTATCAATTTATTTAGTAATCGATTAATCGTTAACTGGAGTATACAGACGCAAAAAAAAAAAGCAATATACCAAAAGAACAACATATACAGAGCAGTACATTCTGCATTTTAGAGGAAAATTTTACTTGTCTGTAAATATGTTCTACCCATAACTCCTCAAATTGTATAATTTTAGTTGCACCCAATTCTAGTTAGGTTTAAAAAGATTAAGCATTTTTTGCTATCTATTTATTAATCGGTTAATCCAAAAATAGACAGCAGATTAGCTCTATGCAGTACTGGTGTTACGTCAAGCAAAAAGGTTTGAGTTTAAGAAGTATTTTAACTGTAGATGCTTCTTTTGCTACAAATAATCAACTGTTCATATGTAATTACATGTTAGGCAATAAAATATTTACTTTCTCATTCATTTTTATTTTCATCTTTTAATCTGTTGCTAATATTATGTAAAAAATATTAGGAATATAAATAAAAATCAACAGAATGTGACTGTTTAAAAAACAAACAAACAAATTAATCAATTAATCATCAGAATATCTGATTAATCAATAACTACAGTAATTATTAGTTGCAGCCTGAATCTGAACATAAATGCACATGATATGATTCATGTTTCATTACAATTTGCACTTATGGGTCTTTAATTGTTTATGTATTTATAAAGGGACAATACACGTAACATAATATGCCAATTAATCATCAGAAAAGTTGATTAATCAACAACTAAAGTAATCGTTAGTTGCAGCCTGAATCTGAACATAAATGTGACAGATTACAACGTGCACTTATGGGGCTTTTGCTGTTTATTTCTAAACTGACAATGCATTATAAGCCAAAGTTAGCCATAAAGGCTAGTTTTCACCTGTAGTCCCTCAGGTGAAATGTAATACATTTAAGTGCAATGCAATTCTTTTGGCACACCTTGCAGGAAAGAGGAACAGCGTTCCCAGCAGGAGCTCCTGAAGCAGGTGGTGAATGAGGACGAGACCATTGTGGCTCTGAAGAAGAAGCTGGAGGATAAGAAACAGGCGTTCCACAAAATGAAGGAAGCTGAGCGGAGCCAGGCCAAACCCGGCAAAAGGCTCGCCAGGAGAGCGTCTGGTCAGGTGAGGTTCCTACAGGGATCCATCAGTCTTCCTGCTTCGACATCAGTTGTTCTCCTCTCCTCTCCTTCCTTCCTCCAGAAAGAGCTAAGGGAGACAACATGGGAGGAACTGGAGCAGAGCTTAGCCCGCTTCGTGCAGAACACCAAGTGATTCAACCTCTTCGGAGAAAAACATGTAAAAACATGTGAACGATACTCCCTGATATGATTCATGTTTCATCTTATTATTTTAAACCATTCTGACTCATTTTCAATCCATTAAATCTGATTAAAAACGTCCCAGTGTGCCTGAAGTTTATTCACAGAATCACAGTTTGTTGCACCACTCTTGTTTTAAGACCATATTTTTGTTTCAGTTCCTCCAACAGCTTCAAGAAGCAAAAAAGAGGTTAAAACAGGAAGTGAACCTTCAACCTCTGACTCACATGGGCGTTTTCCAGAACACATCCTCCACTAACCTGCTCCCTGTTTTCCCACCAACTTAGAAGACCAGATCGGAATTATGTTAACATATCTGTTGCCGTACAAAGAGAATAAGCTTTATCTTTAAGGGCTTTCCATACAGTCAAAGATTGAACAGAGAAATGTTAAACTACTTGAGATACAATCAATTCAATGATCAAATCAAGAGAACAGACAGTTAAAACAAGCAAATATTAATAATAAAACATGAAAGAATAACAGTAAAATAAATTAATCACTTCCAGAGAATGAGGAACTGTGAAATAAGGAACTGAGCCGAGGTCACAAGATGAAATACTAAAGTTTGTTTTGATGTTTGTTGTTCATTTTAGGATATCATGTATTTGCTTTGGTTCATTCTGTACGTTACATAATAAAACCTTAATGTCAAGAAAAATATGTAAATACTTGATGAATAAAAAGATTTATGTAAATAAAAAAAATCTACATCATAAATGACTGAAATGAATAAAAATGTTTTGCACAACTTAAAATAAACAGAAAAATGTCAAAAATATGAGATGAACATAAAATATATAACATGAACGATACTGTTCAGAATTGATCTGAACAGAGTTGGATGAAAAATTATTGATCCACATATAAAATATATAACATTGGAAATAATTTATGTAAGTGACAAGTATGTTACATAGTAAATTATTGTTGTGCAAAATAATATAACATTAAAGATGTTGATGTCGGAGCTAAATTAATTAAATACATGATTATTTACAAAAAATATTGATGCAAATAAAAATATGTCATATAATAAATGGATGATCTAAATGAAAAAAATATTTAATATAATAAATAATTCATTTAAACTGTAATATTTAACGTAAGAAATTACTGACGTGAATAAAAAATATGAAACATAAATAATTGAAGAATTCCTGAGTGTCTTTTTGGGGCAGCGGCGTCCCTGCTGGACGCTGCCTGTAACTGCAACAGCTCCGGCTCCTGCCCATTTTCTCTCGGTTTTAACCTCCAAAGTAAAATCACATGACGCGCATTTTGTCATATGACAGCGATGAGAGAGCTGATTCTTGGCTGAATAAGGTTCTGGTGTTTTCAGAGCCGCTGCGGGATGAGATGCTGCAAACAGACCCAGGCTGGAGGTTCGGGCTGATCCGCAAGAGGATGGACCGTCTGCGGCTCCTGTCTGCCGTCACCGCCGCTTGTTTCATCGGTGAGTTTCAGCAAAACAGGAGAAAATAAAAAAGTAGCTGTTTTGAAAGAAAAATAATGAAACTCTAGATTAGGAGATTAAATAATTTAACCCAGATTCTACAAAACTCTGATTTTGTTGTGAATATTTCTTCAGATATTCCTTTTATAACTTGCTTAAAACTATTTTATCTGACTTTTTTCGGGTTTAATCACAAGATTATACATATAACTGCATAATTGGAGCTTTTTCTTTTGTTTTGCTCACAGTAGAATAACTTTTTATCCCCAAACGCTCTTATCTTTTAGTCGTTTTTGCAATTGCTTTAATATTTTCGGAGGTTTCTGACCATCACATGACTCCACGCTGCTGAATAATTTAATTTTATGAGGATGGTGGCTCCTATTCAAGAAAGCAGTTAAGCACATGCCTTCTGTGATTAGCGCCACAATATGGGCTCTGTTTGCGTTTCTACCTGCTGCCTCCACTTTAGCACGCAGGACGGATTTCATACGGAAGTTATTCATCACAAACATTTTTCCGGGTGAAAAACTTAGACCTGGCCATTTATCACGGACCTGGAGTCGTATTTAGTCTAAGTCAGGGCTTCTCAAAGTGTGGGGCGTGGACCTCCTGGGGTCGCCTGAGCTCTTCAGGGGGACATGAGATGAAGAACAAAAATGAAAAAAAGTTAAAATAACCACAATTTAGCTAACTTCAACAAGCTATGATGAGTAAAGAAAGTATGGTTTGTGATTATTTTTAAAAGTCTGGATTTTCATGGTTTGGGTCTGAAGATGGTCCACTGTGGTTGTGCCGTTAGTAAAGTTATACACTAAAAAATAAACAGCAATATTTTTTGTTCAGGTCCTAGACTCTGAGGCGCCTCCGGACTGATGGACGTCAGTTTAAAGTTTTTTTTTTTTGTCATAAGAGCAAAAAAAAATGGTGATTTATTTTTCAGTTATACTTTATATTGTTTTTTATAAAGGTCACAGTTAGCAACAGTTTGCTAACTATGAGTTAGTTAGCAAGCTATAAGTTTAGCTTAAAACAAATATGCTATTAGCAAGCTAATTATTTAGCTTAAGACAAAGATAATTAGCTAGCTAGCTATATATTTACTTTGAAGCTAAATGTGTATTAGCAAGCTAAATAGTTAGTTGGTAAACTAAATAGTTAGCTTCAAACTAAAAATGTATTTCCGAATAAATATTTAGTTGGGAAGCTACATATTTAGTCAGCAAGCTAAATAAGGAGCTTCAATCCAAAATGTTTATTTAGCAAGCAAAATATTTATTTTCAACTTAAATATTTAGTTAGCCAGTTAAATATTTAGACTAAACAAATATTTAGTGTGCAAGCTAGATATTTAGTTTCAAATTAAATATTTAGATAGCAAGGTTTTGAAGCTAAATATGCATTTAGCTAGCTACATATTTAGTTAGCTACCTAAATATTTAATTTGAAGCTAAATATTTAGCTCACCAGAAAGTAGTTTATAATCTTAGAACAGTAAATGACAAGGCAAGTGAAGCATCATATCCTGTGGCGCTACGCGTAGCTAAACCAGGAAACCTCAACAATAAACAACAACAGTGAAAACGTGTCTGACTGCAACATCAAGTACAGCAACAACAAAAAGTTTATAGAAATATTAACGATAAAATATTGAAAACTAAGTTTAACTGAGCAGATTTTTGGTCGTTTATTGAAGATCAGGTTTAGCATCCAGATTTGAACGATGCAGACCGGTCCACATCATTCCTGTGGGTTTTATAGGTTGGGTATTCATGTCCTGGTCTTGTCAGACAGCTGTTTGCGGATGGATGACCGGGTTCTTCTCCCTCAGGCTTGGTGCAGAGCCAAACCACACTCACCCCTGTGGTGATGAAGACCACCGCGTTGCAGAATGCTACCGTTGTGACTCCAACACCCGTGATTTTCAGCAGCACCACCCCAGGCTGCTTCAGTTTCAACGCTTCTACTTGTGAGGCCTGTGCGCCGGGGTCACAGTACGACAACAGTGAGTCAGTAGTTCTGAATTTACATCAGCCGTCTGCTTTTTCCAGACCTTCTACTAAAAGTGGGCAATTATTATATCGTTCAACATTTATCGAGAAACATTTCTTATTGTTTTCATGCAAAATTTTTGTTATTTATGTTAAAAATGACCTAAAAGGCTTCCCTGAACAGGTTAGGATAGGTCTATGGGCGAAACAAAACATGTTCATTGCACTTTTTACACCAAAATCAGTCTTTGATAGTCAGATTTTAGTCTGCTCAGTTGTTCCTATTTTGAGCTATTTAAGGGCGTCTTGTCACTTTAAATCCAAATAAGCTGTTGCTGGCCACGCCCCCCAGCTCAACGTTTACACTGAAAATGGCAACAAACGGATACACAACTGTTTCTGAACATTATACAAACATTTTTTTTTCTGAATAGTAAATCAACAACAAAACATTTGTCTTTTCCAGCAGTTGTTGTGAAGCACATTCAGCAATGAAACCAGCTGACCAAACAAAATGGAGCTCCACTTGGGTTGCTAGGCAACGGCTCTGGGCTCAGTTATGGTTGCTAAGTAACGGTTAAGCACTCATGGATTATGACTTAAAAATCTGGAGGTTTTTGAAACGGCTCATTTTCCAGACATAAAAAAAACATTAACTTATTACTCAGAAGCAGTGGTTTTCTTAAGCGCTTGGGGAAATTTTAGGAGGAGCTGGAGCCCAAATGAAAGTACAAAAATGTGCAAAATAATTTTTTGTTATCATAATCCTTGTTATTGTCACAATAATATCACAAAATATCGCGATAAAATTCTGAATCCATATCGTCCATCTCCACCTTCTACATTTGTAACATGTCGGTTCTCTACGATGGCCATTTTATACATAAAAAAAAAGATGTAGCAAATTCTTGCCAAAAAAATCTCAGGAATTTCCTAGAAAAAAAACATGAAAATTTCTGAATTAGAAAAGATGGACATTTGCTGGAAAAACAAAAATATTATGTGAGATTCATCTCAAAAATTTTCCAGAAAAAGACTCGGAAATTTGTAGATTAATCTCAGAAATTTTCTACAATTTCTAAAATATTCTAGAAAATTTTAGATGTAGCAAATTTTCTAGACAATCTCAGAAATTTCAAATTTCTGAAAGTCAAATTGTGACTTTTGAATAAAGTTTTTTCTTGCAAAGTTTCAACTTTTCAAACTGAAAAATGTCAAGTATTTTTCTTGAAAATTTCTGAGATTAATCTCAAAATTTTATAGTTTTTCTAGCAAATTTTAACTTTTCAAACTCAGAAATCTTTTGGCATAAAATTTACTCCTCTTCTCTTCCTATCTTCAATGGCCCTGTTACGCTGTTCTAGGTTTCTCCCTGAATGAATTGAAGAGTTTTTTCTCTGCCTCCTCAGACACGCTGCCGTGTACATGCTGCCCTAATCCTGGGTTCTGTATATTTCCTGGAGCCTGTCTTCCATGCAAGACAGGTTTCTACCAGCCACTGGCAGGACAACAGGAGTGTCTGGCTTGCAGTCGGGGCTCCTACACAAAGTAAAACCTCACATCTCTAAAACTAATACTTAAGGTTTTATTTTTTATCTGTTAGCTTGATTTTCTCCTTCCTTCCAGTTTCACCGGGAGCCCATTGTGCCACCCATGCCCTGCTGGGTCCTTCAATAATGACACGGCTGCAGAAAGCTGCACAAGCTGTTCCCCAGGTATGTGTTTTACTTTTTTATCTAAAAGTCATTCCTGTGTTGTTAATCAGTGACAGAAAATCAATATGAAGAAGTGAAAAACATAGATTCACGTCGAAGTGCAGCTCAAATATGTGGAGGACATATTTACAATACTGCAATCTAAAATCAGATAGAAACTGTGACTCACGCATGTTATTTTCCACCTTCTGCTTTCAGGTTTGTTTGCATCAAAGCTCGGCTCTACTTCCTGCACACCATGTCCCCAGGGAAGCTTTTGCAAGTAACTTGTTCTTATTTTATATTTTTGTTTGTTTTGTTCTGTAACCAGGACCCAAAATGGTCAAATGTTTGTCTGTTTTTGTGCAAAAAGGGGAAAAAAATAATCAGTCATCTAACCTCTAAATTGAACATCACATGCCTCCATCCCATGGCTGTGTTTGTCACCACACACACACACACACAAACACACGCATACACACACACGCACGCGCGTGCGCACACGGACTGAACAGCTGGGGCTCTGAGTATTCACTGCATAAAAATCAAAGCGCCGTGTATTATCTCGTCTCGGTGACTTGTAGTTCGGCCTCTGAAAGACGCTTCCTGTCTGAGATTCTGCAGAGAAATTTTTTTCAGCTTCCCAAAGCATTCCCGAGGAACTCTGTGTGTTTTATTTGCTCTGTGCATTTTTGTTTATTTATGAACTGTGGTGCTTTCAGTTCCTAAATAAAACAAGATCAAGAAAACTAGACTGGATTATTATAACCAACTAGTTTCTGCTAGGCTTCTGCACATGGATTATCATTTCATCGATCAAAACAGCTTTAAAGTCAGGAGAACTTTGACACTTGCATTGGTTTTTTTCAGAAGGAAGAAAAACTTTTCTTCCTCAGAGTAATTTCCACTCACAGCATGACCCACTTTCTTTTCTAATTAGCTTTACACTTTGATCTCTTCAAATATTTCTCAGATTTAGCAAAAATTATCAGATTTTTTTTTCTTTCCAGAAACCGAACAACAAAGACCTGGTCACGATTCCATTTGTTGGAAACAAATGCATCTTTAAAGGGGACCTACGATGCATAATTCACATTTTGTGTGCATTTATTCTTCCATTTGAGTTTCTACTAATTCTAAAAAAAACACCCAGCTGTTTTTTGTTACTAAGTTAACATTTTTGGTGTCTAGAAAATGAACCATTTCAAAACAACCCGAATTGTTTAGTCACATTCGACAGGCACTGCGACATTACCTAGCAACTGTACTTGCACCCAGCCTTGTTACCTAGCAACCCCAGCCCATCAAGTAACTTTTCAGCAAGTTATAAGAGGTTGATTTAAATCAATAATTTCTTAATATTGATTTAAAAAAACATTAGTTCCACTGGCAGATTATTTCACTTATAACGTTTGAAAATGTTGTTTTGAATTAAATAATCTGATAATCTATTTAAAAAAAAATCAATAATAAGGAATAGTTTACTTAAAACAAGCTCCTATATCTTGCTGAAAGATACTTAGTTCTGAATGACTTCAAGTGTACTAAGATATTTTCACTAGAAACTGGACCAAAAATTTTTTTGCGGTGGAAACCCATCTTCGGTCTTACTTACTACAGCCTTGAAATCCAGTCGGGTTTTTTTTTAAACAACCGTAAGCATCTTACCTTCTGTCGGCAGTTCGTCTGGTTGCACACAGTGCCCGATGTGTCCCGGAGGAACAGAAGCTCTGCAGACCGCTGCTAAAGATTGCACCCCCTGCCGACCAGGTATTCATATTAGCATTTTCCTGCAGTTTGTTTTTAAAAAATCCAACAAAAAAGCAGAGGAATTGTTGTGAATCCAGTTTGGTTTCAACAGGCATGCACAAGGCTCCCCATCAGACGATGTGTCAAATCTGCAGCAGTGGTTTCTACCAGATCCTCTGGGGTCAGGAGAGCTGTGACCTTTGCCCCGAGAACCACTACTGCCCTGTGAGCGCCACACACTCTCAGAACTATGGTTGAACTGGAAGAAATGCTGCATCCAGTTGTACTTGGAATTGGGAAATTTGGACTTCCCAGTTGGAAAAGTCAATTGGAATGCCCTCAAAAGTCATATTTCCCACTGGGAAGACATGTGCTTCAATATGGCTGCTTCTCACATCAAGAGTAAAACATGCTTATCTTACAAAACACATAAAAAGGTCAGTCTCTAAACTGAAATTTTTATTTTGTTTGTTTATGAAAAGTAAAGCTTACAATTATTTGTTTGTAAGAGCGATTTGCAAACAATGTTTATGGGGTCGCCATGTTGAAATTCCGACTTTTTAGAAAAGGGGTTCTCTGCCGATTCAAAGTTGGCATTTCTAAAGAAGAAACACTGGCTACTTCCAGCAGCAGAATCATCTGGGGTGACTGCTTTAAAAGGATGAACAAGAAAACAAGAACTTAAATACAATTTCTTTGTCTCAAGGCCAGTTTATATTACTTTTTGATTTTAATGTCTTTATTAATTTTTTTAACTTCTTATGTCAGTTTCACATTATTTCATTCACCAAAAGGTTATCAGCATTTAGTCCTCCCTACTTAAAAACAACTTTGAAAAATCACTACAGTTTTTTATTAAAACAGTGTGATTTATACTCTTATTTTGAAAATGTAACCGGATGTTCTGTTAAGAGAGGCGGGAAGGGAAAGACGACGCTAATGTCGGACAGGCTAATACAGTCTGTCTGTTATAATAAGTGCTTAATAAGTTTTCTGATATTCTGGGTTACAATAGCAAGCTCGTCAAATCGCAGTTCCGAGTTCCCACTTCCCAGGCAACTGGAACGCAGCAGAATACCTTCGTTGTATGACGGAGCGGTTTTCTTTCAGAGCCCCGACGTGAACCCCATTCAGTGTCCGAGCGATGCTTTCTGCCCCAAAGGCAGCACGGCTCCGGGTTACTGCATGGAGACGTTCTTCAGGAAAGCAGGGGATACCTGTGAACTGGCGCCGGTTACTATCGCTCTATTGGTCATCGGAGGAGGTGGTGAGTGGTTGGTTTGAACAGAATGACAGAAGTTAGAAAAATAAGCTGCTCTAAATTAATCTATTTTTTAAAATCTGGTCCCCCCCACCAATGGACCCCATGGTTTTTCACAGTAAGGTGTGATGTGAGCGCGCCCAGGGCCGCCATCTTGTTTTACCATCGTGTTTTACAGCTTCTATTTCAGTGGTTCTTAACCTTTTTTGAGGTACCGA